GTTATAAATCCTACCTCTATGATGTTAATGAAGCAGGGTTAGGGGCAGTTAGGTTAATGAAGCAGGACTCAATCTATAAGATTAAGCTGTATGTTGAATCAATCTCTTTTGAGATATGAGAGAATTGAGCAGAGAGACAGGGGGACCTCATGTCACCAAGAATGAAGAACCAGGAGGGGAGCATGTCCTTAGGACCCAAGGTCCCTGTGCTGAGAACCTCCTAGACCAGGGGAAGATAGAAAAGAACGACCTTCCCCTAGAGCTGACAGAGAGAGAAAGCTTTCCCTTGGAGCTGGCACCATGAATTCGGACTTCCAGCCTCCTAGACTGTGAGAGAATAAATTTGTTTGTTAAAGTCATCCACTTGTGGTATTTCTGTTACAGCAGCACTAGATAACCAAGATGCCATCATTTCCCTGGATTACTGTAAAATAGCTTAATAGACTGATCTCTTATTTTTCCAACTCTTCTTTATATTGCTGTCAGTTATAATGTATTTCTTAACAGCCAGGACAATAATACCAAAATGATCCCCTCTCAAAGATAAACCCAATGTGACCATTTCGCTTCCATGCATACTATTTTTCAAAGGCTCTCAGTTGCCTACAAGCAAAGTTTTTTTAGCTAGTCTTGTAGACTCTTCCCTCCATTTTTGGTCTCGTGTTTTCCCACATGCCCTGTGATCTAGCCACACTGAGTCTCCTGCCATGTCTTTCTTCCTTCTAAGACTTGCAGTGCTTTTCCTCTGCCTGGATTCGCTGCACAACTTCGTCTGCCGAGACCTTCTAATCCTTGGTTTCCTCATCTGTAAGTAGGGTGATAACAGTGCTTACTTCAGAGGGTTGTAATGAGAATAAGAAAGGTGACCTGCTCCCCATAATGTCTGCATATAGAGGCACTCAGTAAATGTTAGCTATCATTGTCATCATCATCATCTTTGTTCTATTTCAAGTATGAACAAAAATATCTCCTTTGCTCAAAGTCTTACCTGACTTACTTGGAACCATGAGGCATTCTTCCTCCCTGATACTATACACATGATAATAGCAGCATATTTCATTAATCCCAAAATTGATGGAATTCTCACATTTTTGCATCTCCTACAATCTATGAGATGTCACGGTTTAACTGGCAGCAGCCTTTCTTAGTGTGGTTCTTGAGTGCTGTCGAGCTGATGCCGACTCACAGCAACCCCGTATGTCAGAGAAGAACTACCCCACAGGCTTTTCTTGGCTGTAATCTTTGTGGAAGCAGGTCAAGGTCTTTCTCCCACAGAGCCACTGGGTGTGTTCGAATAGCCAACTTTTCGGTTAGCAGCCAAGCGCTTAACCATTGTGCCACCGGGGCTCCTTCTTTCTCAGTAGTACATATGATAATGGTGCCTCTCACAGTGACTGGCATCTTACATGACATGAAATACTATATTTAAGCTGTCTAGTGTAATTACTGTAATATTTTAATTATCCAAGGGTGGCTAGTACATATTTGTGGTAGGGTAAGAAATCTGAAAATTTCTATGAATCAGTGAAATAGCTACATAAAAAGGGACTACCATTTCGAACTCAAGAGTGGCCATGCAATATTTTGAATACACTGCAAGTTGGCAAAGCCTCACCCTCTGAATCGAGTCATGTCCTAATGAAGCAGAATGCCATCTCCTCTCTCAGTTAAGCAGACCTACTTGAGAGCCAAACAATGGCCAGACTCAGAGCAAAAGTGGAAATGGGGTTAGCTCATGAAACTCTGCCTTCCAACAGCCCAAGAGCCAAGCTGACAAGGTGGAGAACAATGTGACACAGACAGTGAAGGAATGACACAAGGAAGGCCTCGAGACCTTGTTTCTAGACCAGCACTGTCAACAGAAATATAATGAAAGTCACACAAATCTTTTTAAAATTTCTAGTAGCCACACTAGAAAAAAAAAAGAAATAGGTAAATTAATATTAATGATATATTTTATTTATTTAACTCAACAGATCCAAAATATTATCCACGCAAGTAAATAAAGGAAGCCTTTATATACTTTGGAAACCCTGGTAGTATAGTGGTTAACAGCTCTGGCTGCTAACCAAAAGGTTGGAAGTTTGAATCCACCAGGCGATCCTTGGAAACCCTATGGGGGCAGTTCTACCATGTCCTAGAGGGTTGCTATGAATTGGAATTGACTCGATGGCAACGAGTTTGGTTTTGGTTTCTATAAACTTTATATACTATAGGGTCGCTATGAGTTGGAATCCACTTGATGGCAATGGGTTTGGTTTGGTTTTTTATATACTTTGGGAAATTCCTATCCAATCACCTGGCATTTTCAAAACTAGCATTCCAGAACATTTACTGCAAGCAAAGTCACAAACATATCACCCCTATACTGCTTTTAACATTCAATCAATACAAAAAATTATAAACGAAATATTTTACTTTTTTTTTTGTACAAAATCTTCAAAATCCAATTTGTGTTTTACACTTACAACGCATCTTGGCTCAAATTAGCCACATTTCAATTGCTCATCAGCCACACGTGGCTGGTGGCTGTCATACTGGACAGCGCAATTCTAGACTGTGTTTTTGACCAACTCAGTTAAGAAATGAGATATTAGTAACAGCCTATTGAACGGTGGTCCTTTCCATCAAGCCATGTTGAGATCTTTAAGACTCCAACAATATTATATTTTATTTTTCTATTTTTAAATTCTTTAACAGAATGGTAAATGTTTCCTTTAAATTCCTTTTGTGCCAAAAATTCCTTTTTTTGTAACTGGTTTTCTTTTAACCATGATTTGAACTTATCCCTAATATCCTTCCCACATTCCCTTCATTATGTTGGTTAAAGGAGAGCTGACGGGATTCAATTAGACAGTCCTTGGGAGAGAGACAGGAAGTAAATGATTCGTCTTAGTATTCCCGTTGTCTGCCACAGTGCCAAACATGTAGCAGGTTCTGAACAAATACCTCTGAATACACATTAAAAGGTGACCGAAGCTTGACAACAGTGGCTCTGAACTTGGGCTTAACATGGGAAGGGAAGTAACAAAAAATGCTGATGCCTGGTCCCATTCCCAGAGATGCTGGTGTCAGTGGTCTGGGGTTTGGCCTTGGTGTCAAGACTTTTTAAATCTTCCCCAAGTGATGAGTGTGCCGCCAGGGTTGAGAAGCATTCATTGCTCTAGGGCTTTCTTAGAACAGCTTTCTGTGGTCACACCCTTGCTTCCCTAAAACACGGTCCAGTTTGTCTCGCCAATTTCTCCTCTCTGAGCACAGCAAAAGTTTCTTAAGAAACCTAGCAGAGAAGAAGCTAACAGGTAACTCCAAACTGTGATTTGCAAATTATTTATCCAAAACACTCAAGATGATTGTCAAGGTTCTGAACCTATCTATATTTATCTTTTTTTTTTACCAAAAAAGAATAAGATTCACACTACAAATGCTTTAAGATGCTAGCTGGTTTGAAGAAAAATATTGAAACCATTAGAGCATACAGGCAGATAACACCCAGGTATATATACACACTGCAGAATTATTCAGATAAAGAAAATAACAATTAAAAATAAAAATAGAATCCAAGTAGGTGAGTCTAGTTGCAAATTAAGGCTACATATGTCAGCAGCAGAAATTATTAATTGGGGATAAGCAAAGGGAAAATTTTATATTTTCCTACAGACCATTTAGGTTATATTTACATGGTATGATTATAAAGCAATGAGTTTACTCTGATGAGTTAACTATAAAACCTACTAATCATAGTCACATAGCACGTAAGTGTCGGCATCCCTGCTTGCTCTCGAGATGGCCCTTTGCCTGACAGCATGACTTCCATCACATATGAGGTCCAGGAAGGGCCAGAAGGGACCTCTGACTTCTCTGGCTTCAATGCTAACAAGCCCTCATCATGCAGGGACTGAACGATCTCCGCCTCCAGGGAGCAGCTGGAATGAAGTTCCTCTGACTCAAGGACTGAGAATTTCTCTGGCAATTCCCAAGGTGGTTTGGCCATACTTTACGTATTCACCCTGATGAACAGTTTGGTTGATGGTGTGGTATCATGTGGCCTTACTCAATAGAAACAACATGTTGACATACCCCCAACTGTTCTACACACACTTCCTCCAGCTTTCTAGCAAAGATAAATCCTCCCCACAACCACTCCACACCTTCATTGTTGTTCCACATCTTAAGCTGAATCTGAGAAGTCAGAATAGGAAATACCCAAAAGGCATCAAACTTCCAAGCTCACTAATAAAACCAAAACCAAATCCACTGGCGTCGAGTTGATTCCTACTGACAGCAACCCTACAGGACAAAGTAGAACTGCCCCATAGAGTTTCCAAGGAGTGCCTGGTGGATTCAAACTGCTGACCTTTTGGTTAGCAGCCATAGCTCTTAACCACTACGCCACCAGGGTTTAGCAATCAACAAAAAAGTTCCCTACTTTTGCCAAAATCGTGGAGGAAGGAACAGGACCTGATAAGGATTTCTAAATAACGCACCGGGTCTCACGCATATCACTTCCATCTGCTAACTGCAAAGGGCTGATGTGTGCCAAGTGATTGGTTGTGTGACATTCACCTGACCCCAATTTTCCTTTCTGAAAAGGAATGGGAAATACAACACAAGTCTCCAAGTTGCTAAACTCATAAAACCAGGGAAGTAATCACTATGCACCTGTCCAAGACTGTATAAGCCTTGCAGATACATCACGTGTCGGTCAACATGTACAAAATGAACAGCTCTAAAGAGACAAAAAGGCTTCCTTCAAAAATTTACAAAAATAGGAGCGACGCTGAAAGATTTAAACTATTAAAAGGATTGAAAGGTGATGCAAAAGTTACAGGACAACTCCATCCACATCGAGTATGTAACCACTATGGGAAGATGGACTAACAGAATCATTGCAACTGCATAAGGTCAGCCGGGGTACAAGGGGCAGGGAGCCTCAGAGAAAGACCTGTGCAATAAAAGCTATTTCAAAGCATCAAGGGTGTGCAGCCGACAAAGATTCCTACCTTTCTGGAAGAACTCTTCCAACTTGTTCTTGAAAGGCTGGAGATATTCCTTTGGAGACTCCTCACACACCACCATCATCTGCTTCTCACTTGCTGTGAAGAGAAGTTCAGAGTTAGGCTTGGTGAAGAACACACATTTGCTGAGTTCCTACTAGGAGCCTGGCATTGTGCTTACCAGCACTTGAGTATCAACTGTGCAGAATTCTTATCAACCTTCATCCACATGCCAGAAAAAAAAGCACAAAACCAGAAACAAGGAGCAAATAAACCCTGAGACAAACAAACAAACAAGCAAGTAAACAAAAATAATTAGTTTACTCTGCACGTCTCTGTAGGAACAGGGAGTCACCTTCAACTTTTCTTAAAGATGCACACAAACCTCTGACTTGAGACAGGTGAAGTATTCTGCTTGTGGTTCCCCCCAAATAAAGAGAGGCGAAGCTACTTCAGGAGTGTCCCAGGGAATTAAGAGCCCTAACCCTCTTCAGATGCACACCCCAAAAGTAGTCTGAAATAGTCTTTGCAGAAACTCTCAGGCATCCAAGCTGCATGGAACGATCAAATTGACAACTCCTTGGGATGACAAACACACCTCAGCATGAGAACTGAGGCCAGGTTAATTAATCAGTTGTCACTGGGTCAACTCCAACTCATGGTGACCTCATGTGTATCGGAACAGAATCGTGCTTCATAGGATTTTCAATAGCTTATTTTTAGAAGTATATTGCCAGGCCTTTCTTCCCAGGTACCTTTGGGTTAGTCTTGAACCGCCACCCTTTCAGTCAGCGGCTAAGCTCATTAAATGTTTTACCACCCACAGACTTCTGATGCCAGGTTAGAGAGGACAGTATCTGCTCTTCATGCTTCTCATCCACCTGCCCTTCCCGTTAGAATTTTACCAACACACTTGGAATAATTTTATATGTGCTTTATTTCAGACAGAGTATCTGGAATTTACAATAGAACTGTTTTTGATGATCAAGCCACCTCAAACTGGATAGTTGTGATTTGGCTACAAGGAAACTACAATAATCCATAGTTCACCATCACAAAGGGCACTTAGCCCAGGCCAGAAGCATTTCCCCAAGGTTTTTAGATGCCTGTGTCAGTTGCTGAAAGAACTGGAGAAAGAAAGGCTTCATTTCTCCAAAGCTACAGCAATCATTATAGCTTTTGTCTGCTGACCACAGTCAGAAATTACTGACCTGTTCTCCTCCAAGGGCATAGATTGAAACATTGGGTTTTCACCATAAATAAATCATGCCACCTGATTAAAAAAATAGAGAAACATTCACTCCGGATTTTGGAGGAATCTACAGAAGCACAAGGGTAAGGTATTTTGGAAGAAAAGGGTTGCAAAAAAGAAGCCTTTATTTAGTTTGGGAAGTTCCCATTCAATAATTTGGCGTTTTCAAAACTACCATCCCGGAACATTACAAGAAGCAAAGCAACACACGTTTCAGTCCCAGAGCACAGAAAATTCAAAAGAGGTCACTCAAGTGTCCCATGAAATTAGTTATCTGCCACTTTTATCTTGTAAAGTTGTCAACTACACTGCTGAAATCCTACACAATTCTGGGAGTCTGTAAGACTGTGCTGAAGAAGAAAGCATGACTTGAGGGAGCCCTTATGCCGTTTTCTGAGTCAAGTTCAGAATAACCCACACTCTCAGAGGTATCTGCCAGGATCGGTCAGGAGACAGGGATGCTAGGTCTCAGCATAGGAGAGTCTAAATTCAGCCCATTGCTATTTTCTAAAGGTTTTAAATACAGTGTGTCTTAGTTATCTAGTGCTGCTATAATAGAAATACCACAAGTGGATGGCTTTAACAAACAGAGATTTATTTTTTCACAGTCTAGGAGGCTAGAAATCCGAACTTATGGTGCCAGCTCCAGGTGATGCCAGCTCCAGGTGATGCCAGCTCCAGATGAAGACTTTCTTTCTCTGTCAGTTCTGGGGGAAGGGCTTTATTAGCAGTCTTCCCCTGGCCTAGAAGCTTCTCAGCGCAGGGGCCTGGAGTCCAAAGGACATGTGCTCCTGGCTCTTCTTGCTTGGTAATAATGAGGTCCCCCTGTCTCTCTGCTCACTTCTCTCTTTTATATCTCAAAAGAAACGGACTCAAGATACAACGTAATCTTGTAGATTGAGTCCTGCCTCATTAACATAACTGCCACTAATCCTGCCTTATTAACATCATAGAGGTAGGATTTACAACATTCGAAAACCACATCAGATGACAAAATGTTGGACAATCACACAATACTGGGAATCATGACCTAGCCAAGATAACACACATTTTTGGGGACACAATTCAATCTATAATAATATCTGCTATTAGCTACCCTGACAACCATTCCACTGTCCATTGGGATGTGAAGATTGATTTTTTTTATTTTAAATGACCTACCTAACAGAAAAGGCCCTAGTGTCACAACGGTTAAGTGCTCAGCTGTTAATTGAAAGATGGGCAGTTCCAACTCACCCTACAGCTCTGCAGGATAAAGACCAGGCGATCTGCTTTCATCAAGATTATAGTCAAGAAAGTCCTATGGGGGCAGCTGCACTCTGTGGTGTGGTGTCACTATGAGTCGAAATCTACTCTCCATGCCCCAACATCTAACAAGAACCACCACACCTTACTAAAGAAATATACCTCCTGCCTTGGAACAAATGAGAAACAAATCGCTCAAAACCAGCCAAATCATCATTTCAAAACATTGATGTTTTCATATTCTTACCTTTCTTTAGTAAGCTTATTTGTCCTCTCTGCAACAATTACTTTATAACTTCTCTACTATTATCAGACCTCCCTTTACCTCTTTCCCAGTAGATGGACCCGTGGTCAAATGGGAATCACCACCCTCCCACCACTATTCTCTAAGTAGGGGTGCTCTGGACGAAAGTGGTAGAAGAGGAAAGAGAGTATTACAGTAGTAATAATGACTCTTTATCACAATAAAATGAAGAAAATGCTAAAGTTTTGAACTTTCTTTTAATTACAAAATTAATACTTGCCTATTATTAATTAAAGAATGTAGAGGTATTTAAGAAAAAAAAAAGGTCCTTTCCTGCATTACTTGAGTATATTAATTTGAACAGAGCAGATATTTGACTAACAGTAAATATTTACACCCAGGAATGTGATATGTCTCTCAATTTATCTAGTCCTTATTTTATGTTTTTCAATAAAATTTTCCAGATTTATTATAAAGGCCTATATTTTTCTTATATACTTTTTTAGATAGTTTATAATTTTGTCAACTTTTTAATTTGCATTTTTTTTAACCCATTTCCATTTCTAACTGACTATTTTTGGCAAAGAGAAGAGCTATTTATATCTTTATCTCGTATTCAATTTACTGAATTTTGGTATCAGCCCTGATATCTCTATTTGTTCTTCCCAGATACAAGTTTTGAGTCTTTAGCTATTACACACCTAAACTCTGCCGTTCTTGAGTTTTTAAAAATTTAACTGGTTTATTTTTAACTGTTATTTAGCTATCCTTTGTATAAACTGGAGCCCTGGTGGTGCAGTCGTTAAGAGCTTGGCTGCTAACCAAAAGGTCAGCAGTTCGAATCTACCAGCCACTCCTTGGAAACCCTATGGGGCAGTTCTTTCTGTCCTATAGGGTCGCTATGAGTTGGGATCGACTCGATGGCAATGGGTTTTCTGGTTTTGTAGAAATTATATGTAATTTTAATTAC